TTCAAGAATTCGTGGAGCTCGAAGAATCCGAGGAACCGGAGGGTCCCGAGGAATCTCGGGAACCCGAGGAAACAGAAAACCTGGAAAACCCGACGATTCTGGGAAACCTTCGAGCAACAGGCAAAGTGACCCCCCGAGTCACCGAGGGCGAAACCCAGGGAACCCGAGGAACCCTGGGAACCTCCGAACAACGTGCCCGCCCCGAGGCGCCAATATTTTTTACCAGTTACGAACCACGCAGGCAAAATACTGGGGGAAACATCCATATCCGGGTCCTCAATGGGCAATCGGCGGCGATTTTCTGAGGTCGGATCTCATTATCTAGCATGACACAACACGTTTACCATATTTCCCTTGACACATACTGAATCAATGTGTGGCAGATTTACAGGCTGACTTCTTCTGTGTTAGTGCGGACGAATTGATTGACATTGACTTAGCGCGGCGAAAGATCCAACCGTATGCATCTGTGCGCGCCGCGCATGTGAATGTCGTCTTCGGCGGAGCTCCTTATAGGGGCACAAACCGTGTGAGAGGCGTATCAACATGTAATGGCGGCGGCACGCGGGCGCTGCCACTGGGGCCTTCGGTGGAGCCCCCTATAGAGCCTTCACCGTGGCTCCCTCTGTCCGTGATCTGTTTGGTGCGGGGTAGCGGGAGAAGCTAGACCGTCCAAGATTGTATTTCTCTCTTTTTTTTTCCCCCCGTATGCCCGCGCACTCCAAATTCCAAGCCTGCGGGCGCAGCGCAGCGCGGAATCCCCGCGACGCGCGCTGGTCGCCCCGAACGGGTCCCAGCGACGCGTGAAGGTCGTCCGCTGCGCGGAGCAAAAAGAACTAGCTTGCTGGCTGATTGCGCGCAACGCTCTTGCTGCTGGGCAAAGCGACGCCAGGCGAGCGAGGCGCTGGGCAGAGCGCAGCATGGAGTTTCCGCGACGCGCGCTGGTCGTTCCGAGAAGCCCAAACGCCACGCGGGTCGTCCGCGGCGCGGGGCCAAACAGTCATACCGTCGAGAGAAGGCGGCGCTCGGGCGGGCCGCTTCCCTGTAGGGCTGTGGGGCAACGGAGCGTGTGGAAAATGTGCTCCCTATGGGGCCACGAAGCGCTGTACTGGGCGCAGAAATCGCATGCGACTTCAGCCACTGGGACCTTCGGTGGAACTCCCTGTGGGGCCACGAAACGCTGTACTGGGCGCAGGAGCCGCATGCGAATTCCGCCGGTGGGACCTTCGGTGGAACTCCCTATGAAGCCACGACAGGCTGCACAGGGCGCAGGAACCACATGCGAGTTCGGCCACTGGGGCCTTCGGCGGAACTCCCTGTGGGGCCACGAAACGCTGTACTGGGCGCATGAACCGCATGCGAATTCCGCCGGTGGGACCTTCGGTGGGACTCCCTATGAAGCCACGAAGAGCTGTTTTGGGCGCGGGAGCCGCATGCGAGTTCCGCCACTGGGACCTTCGGTTGAGCTCCCTATGGGGCCACGCAACGCTATACTGGGCGCAGGAACCATGCGACTTCCGTCACTGGGACCTTCGGCGGAGGTGGAGATCCCTATGAGGCCACGAAGCGCTGTAATGGGCACAGGAACCACATGCGAGTTCCGCCACTGGGATCTTCGGTGGAGCTCCCCAGGGGGCCACGAAACGCTGCACTTCGTGCAAGATCCGCGGAACTGGGACCTTCGGTGAAACTCTCTCTATGAGACCACGGAACGCTGTACTGGGCGCAGGAGCCGCATGCGAATTCCGCCGGTGGGACCTTCGGTGGAACTCCCTATGGGACCACGAAACACAGCAGTGGGCGCAGAAAACGCATGCGAGTTCTGCCACTGGGATCTTCGGTGGAGTGTTGGGCGAAAGAACCGCATGCGAGTTCCGCTTTTGGGACCTTCGGTGGAGCCCCCTACGGGGCCACGAAACGCTGTACTGGGTGGGAAACGCAGGGAGGAGGGAGGAAGAGCAGGAGGAGAGGAGGAGAGGTGGGACGTGGGGCGCTGTCTCTTCAAAACGACGACCCAACACCACAGGATGGTTGGGACAAATCAAGACACATGGTCCTGGACCTCACAGCGCCGCCGGCGGCGAGTCTCTGATGTCGAGGCCTTATTATGTTTGGAACATGTTTTTCCCCAAAGTTTCTCGTGTATTCCAAATCTTCAATTCGGCACAACAGAAGTCAATGTGTGGAAAAATGTACACATGCTTTCTTTTTGTGGCAGTTTGAAACACTCGAAAACCTTTCAAACATAGGAACACAAGTCATCCTGGACCTCAGAAAGCGATCGGCGGCCAGTCTCTGAGTTTGGGGATCGTTTTCTGATGCTAATTGGTCTGATTCAGAAATCTGGCAAAATGGGACCAACGAGTTTACTGTGTGGCAAGAGTCTCGTGAAGTGTTGTTGCATTTTGGAAATGACACAAAAGAAACAATGTGTGGCAGGTTTGCAGATTCATTTCCCCTTGAGGCAATTTGAATGGGCACAGAAGGAATCAATGTGTGTGTGTGTCTGATTTGGAAATTGATCCTTTCTGCGTGAACTGGCTGGATCCATGGCCCGAGACCTCGGGGGGTGGTCGGCGGCGATACCTCTGAGGGCGAGGAGGAGAACAATGACGAGAACACGAGAAGGAGGAGGAGAGCGAGGAGGAGGAGGAGGAGGAGAAAAGAAAGGAGAAGGAGCAGGAGGAAGAGGAGGAGGGCGAGGAGGAGACAAAACGACGACAACGACGATGATGACGACGACGGTCAGTAGGCCTGTGGTGGGCCTGCGGCACCATGGTTGGCCTTTGCGTACGCTTTGCCAAAGTCTATGGTGGGCCTGCGCGTAGCCTACACGCTTGGCTGCTGTAGGCCTGTGCACAGAGCTGTGGTAGGCCTTTCCTGCGGCAGGTAGTCAGCAGGCCTGCGGCCGCCCGCCGGCCTCTGCATCGTCACGCATATGCCGACCGTTGCACCATGCGTAGCCCGTGCCGGTGGGTATGACAAGCTGATGCGTGGGGCATGACGCAAAGGCTTAAGGTAGGCCTTTTGGTAGGCCCAGGGCCTCCAACAGGCGTGCGCGTCGGCTATGCGAAGGCCTATGGTCGGCGTATGTATGACCAGCGCAAAAAGCCTACGGTAGGTGTATTCGCAAACTGTGCGTAGACCGATGGTGAAGCTATCAGGTTAGAGTTGTTTAGGACGCAATTTAATCAGAACCATACTTAGATATGACATAGACTTACGATGCGATTCAGAACTTAAGCTGTATTCAAAACTTTGATTCGAATGCCATCGATACTAGATATGCATCGGGCTATGGAAGTATATGGTGGCAAGCGTACCATACGTCAACACTAAACTTATGGTCGGCCTACACTTGGCTTGTGACCGGCCTATGCGCAGCCTGCGCGTAGGCCTGTGATACATTTAATGCAGGCATGCAGCCGCCCATCGACCTGTTCACAGGCTAACCGTGCGCCCATGGTAAGCCTACACCGCGCCTGTGGTAGGCCCACGACCGCCCATAGGCCTAACGACTAGTCCAATAGTCGGCCTACGAGCGGGCTGCGCATAGGCCCATTGTAGTTATACGCGTGGTCCGTGCATACGCCTATGGCAGGAACATTATACTGAGACGAACAATGAACTGTCATGGTAATACCAAGTATGCTTATATGAGAACTACACTTTGAATGTGTACGAGATAATGTGAGTTCAAATGGGAATATGCATGGACCTATGGATGTATACGGTGTGCATACCACAGGCGAGCCAGAGGCCTACGGTTGGCCTGCCCTGGGCCTGTGGTAGGCCTGCGGCCGCTGGCAGGTCTTTGCGCAGGCTGTGCGTCAGCTCATGGTGGGCTTCTGCGTAGCGTGCACGCTTGGCCGCCATACTCCTATGCGTAGCCCATGCAGAGTCTTGGCAGTGGGTTAGGCCTATCCTGCGTGGGTGAGCAGTAGGCCTGCGGCCGCCCGTCGGCCAATGAATATAGCCTACGCGCATGCCTACCGTAGTCCTATGCGCAGCTTATGTATAGGCCTGTTGTAGGCTTGTGCGCAGGCGAATGAGAATAGGCACATGGTAGGCCTACAACAACCTTTTGGTAAGTCCGCGGCGTCTCACTGCCTATGCGAAGGCCTATGGTAGGCCGGCGCATGGGCTGCGCAAAAGCCCATGTAAAAGCTGCGCGTAGGCCTAATGCACCGGCTATGCATAGACCCATGCTGGGGCTACGCAGTGGATTTCGGCATCACACAGGCCTACGCACCGCTTGCGCATAGGTCCACTGGATGCCTGTGCGAACGCTGTGGTCAGGCCGGTGGTCGGCCTCTGCACGGGCCTATGGTCGCTGCGGACAGGGTTACCAGAAGCAGCTAATGTTCCTTCTCCCTCCCTCCACGGCTTTCCTATTTCTCGTGAGCGGATGTATGCATCACGTCATGTTTGTCATCTTCGTCGCCTCGTCCGACGCATACCCATCCCGGGACAAGCGACATGGTTGGCAGAAACAGCGGCTGAAGGACGAGTGGCAGCGCTTACGAACTTAGACAACACGCGTGCTTCGCAACGCGGTTTGGTACACGCAGATGCTCAGGAGCAGCAGGAGGGATGGGGATACACGCCCCCCCCTCCCATATCCCCAGGAAAAACATGATGATGAGGGCCTGTTTGAAGATGTGCACTCATCCCTCATCTTTTCTCCTTTCTATGAACGGGAAGATGATCGAGAATAGCTGGCGACCCTCCTTCGCATCATCCGTGTGGTCTGTATGATCCCGTCCCCTCCTTGCCATCATATCCATCCTACCTCGCAGTATCCTCATCATCCAGCCCCTCCCACTGCGGCGACACCCCACATCATCATATCCTGTATGTTTGGAGTGGAGGGGTGCTCACCCTCCTCATCATGCATCCCCTCCTCCCACTCATCATCTCACAATGATATCCTCCGCAAGCGAGCATGAAGAGACAACGTCCCCTTCCTCCTTCTTCAACTGCCGGTCCTGCCCTTCTGC